GGACTCCTCTCCCCTTCCCTTCATTAGCCGACAGCCACTTGTGGAAGGGGGGAGGAGTCCGGTGACGTCGATGTCCGTGACGTCACCGAGTCTCCGACGGAAGACCCGGAAGCCGGCGGAGAGGTGAGTACGGATCAAAAGAACTTTGATCGATCAAAAAAATTAACGATTAATCGAGGGATTAATCGTTAATTTCCGCAGCCCTAATATATACACATACACACACACATAGTATAAAATATACACACACACACATTATTTTAAACTGATAGAAGAGCAGAACTGGTTTGCTTTCAGACTCTTTCTCTTCAGCCAAATGCCAGGGCCATGAACTGGAGGTGCTGGTGTTACTCTCAGAATCCCTGACAGGATTTCCAGAATACTCGCCAGAACTTCCAATGGTACTTGCAGAATACCTGTGACTGTACCACGGCTCTGGACCTGGAAAGGGCTCTGTGTACACTCAAACGCGGAGAGTGCTACAGTGCAGAGGCCAGTGTCTGAAGATCACATTCCAGGCTAGCCCTGCAATTGTCCAGTCCAGTGTTGTCCAAGTACCTCATTCATAGCTATTGCTGAGGATATGCCAATACGGATAGCTGCGCATAGAGGACACCTCAAGCAGCCTGTGGGAGAATCTTGATTGAAGAAAAAAAAACCTTGAGTGTAGGAAATATGGCCAGCAAAAAACAATTACAATCGGATGTGTATTGGGGCCCATGAGAAATAAATGGCTGCACCCCCCAGAACACAAGCTGTTGCAATGCACCTCAAAGTGCATTAAATCCATGTAGTGGAAGAGTGTGAATGGGCCTTGAATTCTTCCATCACCTCCACCTTGCTGATCTTACTAACCCATCCACATCTTGTAGTTACCAGGCTGACCCTCCTCCACCTACAAGATCTGTCAGTCTGGCACCATACTGTATAGCCAGACACACACCACTTACATTTTCTTTAGATCTGTTCTGTGCGATCCGCACCAATTACTACGACAGCATCCCTAAACATTCTGTACAATGTACATCCAGGGAGGCCTTTGTACTACACGGTAATCGAATCAATCAAATCAATGCCAAATATACTGTTGTGTGGCTAACCTTACTCTCTGTCATCTGACACAAGCGCAACCTCAACATCAAAAATGACAAACGACAAACATTGTAAGATAAAGGTAATAATTTAATCATAATCGAGGTATAAAAAGGTAGAAAGTAAACAGTAAACCGTCTGTAAATATAGTACAATATAAGAAAGACTTGTTACTGGAATGTGTTTTCTCTGATATTAGGTATGCTCATACACCAAGTACCATACTCGGTACAAGTATAAGTACCGATACTTTTCCAGCTCCAGGACTAGACTAGAGAAAAGTTCAGAAGTTAGGAGGCGGCTGTCATTAGTAAGTAGCACACGGAGCTCCTGGGATTTGTACATCTCTGTTATCATGTATGAT